ACTGGGCCATTCCCGATGCCTTCAGGGTGGGAATGAAGCTCTGGAGCCTTCCACCTTGTTTGGCTCCATTTGAGAACACATTTTTCCTCTTCAGCTGGAGGCAGGGAATACTCCTGAACTCTGACGAGCTCCAGGAACTCTCCTGGTGCTCCAAAGGCTTTCACTGGAGCCMGTTTCACTTCCAGTAAAGAAAAGGTTACCTTGGACAGGTAAACTCTGCTGAGTTCAGCTCTGCCAGCCACCCTGCACTCACCGGGGAATTTCTGYAGCAGAAACTCCATCAGACAGGTCAGAGGCAGCACCAGCAGGGCCAGCACAAACACCACGTTGAAATTCAGAAAACCGTTGATGAAATAGAAGGACCAGGGTTCTGTACCTAAAGGGTGAGAAAAAAGGAAAAAAATGGTTTGAAATCAAAGCAAAAATAGGAGCAGCTTGGGTCCTTCTCTGCCTGACACAGAGCATCTCACACTCACASCTGCCCAAGAAATTTCATTGTCTTTCTTTTCAATAATTACTTTTTTCCTTATTTTTACAYTGGGAGTGAAAAATAGTATCACATCTGCTCTCATGAATCCCAGATCACCCYAACAACCAGCAGAAATCTGGGCCCCAGAGTTCACCCTTGCATTCAGAAAGCACGGCAAGGAAGTAGAGATGGAAGCTTGCAAAACTGGGCAACTTCACCCCAAATACATTTTTGACTTCTGACTGCAGAGAAGTAACACAAAACTACATAATGTCATGTGATTCTGGAGTGAGGATGTTCATTCTGTGCTGGCAGGATCAGAAAATTAACATACATTTTCACCCAAAAGGATTAAGAAGGAAAAGAGTTTCCATTCCCACTTCACCCAACAAAGACTCCGCCACCAAACGCTGCGTTTGGTCCTTCCTTAGACTCAGCACTATTTAAATATCCCAAATTGAGCCTGTTCTGACACAAACAGGAACGAGGCAGCTCTGCCTCCACGCTTGGGAACTGGCTGCAAGCTCTGCAGGATGTAAACTGAAAGAAACTCCAGTCCAACTGTCATTTATTTAGACTCCTGATTCAGGATGCTTCAAACCCTTAACAATAAGGAATGCCAGTTCCTCTCCACACATTTCCCACTCCCTCCGTGTGATTAGCTCAATCAGCCAGTAAATGACACGCGGGGGCTTTAATCACTGCACTGTTGTGACATGTGTCACATGCCACAGCAATTTCCTGCAATCAGAGCCACTTAAATTGGGTCCGTGTTGAAATTAATCAGACAACTGAAAAGCAGCAAGGAAAACCCGAAACCTCTGCGTTCCTACAGCAAAAAAAAAAGGAGAAGTTGCACTGGGAATGTCACAAAATGTCACAAATGGTACTGGAGTCACTGGTTGGCCGAGCAACTTGGGTTTGCAGAAGAAACCTTGAGTTGGTAGCACTGAAAGCAAACAGCAATTAAAAATAAGTCCCAAATCTTCAAAGGATAATTCCAAGGACCATCCTGTCACCCTGTGGTGGAGAGCAAAGGGAATTCACCCTGAATTCACCTCKCTCTGCTCTGGTCTCTTATTTGACAGCCTGGGGGTCAGGAGTGAAGGACACTTTATGAAACACAACTCCTCCACAATCCAAATACAGCCCAGATAACGCTGCTAYGGAACAGATCAGCTGCTCTGAAGCACGGCTTGAACAAAAAAAAAAGGCTGCTCGCTCACATTTTTKTGCAGTGTGACTGAATTGCCCATAAAAAATAAGCACAGGAGCCTCCCCTCCTTCTCCAATGAGGGATTTTCTCCACTGTGAGAGGATAAAAAAAATAAAAAGTGGAAAAATAAAAAGAGAACAGTGCACAGCAGGCAAAAAGCAGTGAGCAGGCTGGGTCAYTGGTGACTCACCCATTCAGAGGCACTCAGGCTCAAAGCCTGCCAGGGCAAAAGGCTTTTATTGCTGTTATCCACACGGCTCAAGGTGAACCCAGACAGAACTGCAGCGGTAAAAAGCAATGACCCCATTGCATGCAAGGAGTCCTGGCCCAGAACATCATCTCTGAAGCAGGGAGAGACACTGGACAATYCTCCATGCTCAGTGTTAATGGGAATTTGCTTCCAGAGCATTGCCCKCAGAGCAGGAGAGATGGAGCTGCAGGCAAGGTGTGGGATATGGGAGACAGACTGGTGAAAACAGTGGGAAAAGGATGCCCAGGCAGCCCTGGCACGGTGGTTCCACGGGGAAAACCTGCTGGAAACACCATCAGACCCCGAGCAAGAAAATTCTTTGAAYTCAGGGGGGTGTGAATGGCTCCGGGAGAAACTCCAGAACTCAAACTCAAGTGAATCAAACTGAGGAGCAAATCAAACTCAACCACGCTGATCCTTGAGCTCAGGAACAGTGAGGGCAGCTCAGGCCAGAGCAGGAGCTGTAAAACAGGCTGAAGATAAGGAGCCCCACCCTGGGCTGAAGGCCGAGTGCAGGAACTGCAGCTGCAATAATTTGGTCATGAGTCAGAGCCCTCGTTCTCAGCACGTCTGAATCAGTGCTGCTACAACCAACACTCTGCTCGCTGCATTTTATTTGTTCTTGCTCTGTTCAAGAATCAGCACTCCACAGAGCAAAGTGTCACGTGAACTCCTCCATCCAAGCTGAACAAAGCTGCTCAAGGTGGGACAAAACTTTGGTCACAAAATGTGACTTCTCAGAACCCACACAAAAATATCCCAAAGCCTCAGAATCTGCCATATACACTTTGCAGCTTTTTTCCCTTGGCTGTGGGAACCTCCTCACCCCAGGGAAACATTAATTGCACAGACAATATTTTTGTAGAAGGAGTGTATTGCTAAAGACAAGAGAAAAAAAAAATCAATTGAACCTTGTCTCCAAAATAATGTGGTGCTTACACTGGAGATGATCTGGGTTGGTGCCTCTGTTCCCATCATGTGAACGCTGGGAAATCCCAGCTTCCAAAGCCAGGAGGGATTGGGCAGCCTTTCATCTCCCCCGGTTGTGTTATTTTTCCCCAGTGTTTTGGAGCTGTCTAAACACACAGCGTTGTCCTGGCCACACTGCATTAAAGAGCAATTCCAGGCAGGCTCTTTCACTAGCCCGAGGATGTTGTGTGAACGTCACTGTGAATAAAACTCTTCAGGACAGATTGCTCCCTGGAGGCTTCTGGAAACAACTCATGCACCAGCGGGGAAAAGGTCAGGCACAAACCCCTGCCAAAACTTATCAGAGACAGAGCCTGGAGTTTACTTATAGAGAACTCACAGCTCTGCACTTCAGAGCCTTCCTGTAGAGGCCAAGAGCTGTGGTGGAACAGCTGCTGTCCTGCTGTGCCACAGCACGAGTGACAAATCAGCACTCAGCACCACCCAGAACAGCCCCTCGGCTGAAACAGCAGCCAGAGCTGCCAGAGTGAGCCCTGCTGCTGCTGCTCTGTGCTGCTGAACCCTCCTGGAGCAGCTCTGTGCTGCTGAACCCTCCTGGAGCAGCTCTGCACTGCTGAACCCTCCTGGAGCAGCTCTGCACCCCTGAACCCTCCAGGAGCAGCTCTGCACTGCTGAACCCTCCTGGAGCAGCTCTGCACCCCTGAACCCTCCAGGAGCAGCTCTGCACCCCTGAACCCTCCTGGAGCAGCTCCACACTGCTGAACCCTCCAGGAGCAGCTCAGCACCCCTGAACCCTCCTGGAGCAGCTCTGCACCTCTGAACCCTCCAGGAGCAGCTCTGCACTGCTGAACCCTCCTGGAGCAGCTCCGTGCCCCTGAACCCTCCTGGAGCAGCTCTGCACCCCTGAACCCTCCTGGAGCAGCTCCCCGGGGATGGTGCAGGCACCCCGTGCTCTCTGCCAGCCCTCTGAAGCTCTGAGAGAAATGTAATCCTTTCACTGCTCAGCTCTGGAAGTGCAGGATATGGGCAATGTGAATGATGGATTCTGCACCATCCCTCACTTCCCCGAGGTTCTGCACCCTGACTGCGAGGAAAACCAGCCRGGAACAAGATTCCAGCTGACACGCACGGGCCACTTGTGCCCAGACACTGAGCCACCTCCTGGCGATTCCACAGAGGTGGAAAGCGAACAGAAGGAGCACAGCTCCCAGCGCGGAGACAGCCGGCAGAGCATTCCCAGCTCGACAGAGACATCCCGTGTCCAGAGGCTGCAGCTGCAGCCCGTGGAGCTCGCAGGCTGTTCCTGCTTTGGGACACGTCAGGAAAAACACTGCCAATCGCGAGCCACGGCAGCCAGAAAACCTCGGGCTCCCTTCCTGGCTTGTTGTCMCAAACTCACCGTAGAGATCAGGGCCGTGGGGGGTGAAGACATTGTACAGAACAATGTTGAGAGGTGCCACTACCAGCTTCCCATAGTAATAGCTGTCCACCAGCACCGAGGGCACCTGGAAAAAAGCAGCTCGTGGGTTAAAGTGCCAACAGCTCCAGCTGATTTTCCTGAAGGAACTCATCCCTTTATTGCAATCCATTCCCTCTCTACAGGCGCTTACCAAAAACACGATCAAGGACACCACACACCAGCTCAGGAAACTCTTCCACCTCCGCTTCAGGATCAACAAGTCAAAGGCAATAGGAAGCCTGAAAGAGAGACCAGCAGTCAGCTGGAGGCTTTGAGAGCCCCACTGCAGGTTCTGCTGCCTGAAAGAGAGACCAGCAGTCAGCTGAGGCTTTGAGAACCCCAGTGCAGGTTCTGCTGCCCCTTCAAGGCAAGAGACAGAACCACCACTGCACTGGCCTCTGCTTCTACTCCAGATTCCAGTCATGCAACTCAGATTTTACACTTTATTAAAGTCAGGAAATCTTCCCAACTGAAGTTTTTCAAAAGTCAAGCAGCCTGTTAGCAATGACCCTTGACTAAGCTGGCAGCTCAGCCCCTGCTGGTTTTTCCTCCACCCCTGCACTGTCCCCATCCCCCTAAGCAAGGGCCAGAAGCTCTTCCTTACCCCAGAGCTGCACTGAAGGGCCAGCCCAGCAGGGCTCCAGCAGCCACCCCCAGCACTGCCACCGAGGTCTTGTCCATGTACCAGCCCGTCATGGCAACCACCGTGGTGTACATGCAGAAACTGCTGGGGAGGAAAGCTGCAACACAAAGGGCACARAGGGTCAGCACGGCTTCCCCACACCTGACACAACACCTGCACGGAGTGTGTGACACAAATCTTACAGTGGCTGGGAGAACAGGTGCAACCAGCCAGAGGGGACAGGGCAAAAAGGCAAATGGCATTGCCAAAATATAGAACAAAAGATGTCCAAGKAGGGCAGGCCAAGAGCCTGTTCAAAGGGCACAGAAAAAAACAGGAAGCAGTAACCGAAACGGGCCTGGGAAATTGTAACACGCAACAGGGACACAAAAGAGAGAACAAAATCGGAATCAATGCTTGTTCTGTCATAACACCTCCAGCTGCACACAGCAAAGAGCTGGGGTAAGGCTGTGGGTTTCCTTCTCTCTGGACCTGCCTTTGGTCATTGCCAGCACCAGTGCCAAGCCAACTCACCTGCAGAAGCACAGAACATGCCCGTGCTGAGCACCAGGAAGGCCAACATCAGCCTGCTCACGTGCAGCCCAAACTTCTTGCACACAGCCCTGGGGAAGCAGGAGAGAAACAGGTACCACAAAATAACCTCAGGACGAGAAAAGTGCAGCACTCAAAACATGCAGAACCACCAGTAATCCATGCAGCACCCAATAATACCACCAGTAATCYATGCAGCACCCTGAGAGMRCTGAGGKGGGAGATTCCCAGTATTCAGCTGCTGCCTCTGGCCTGGGATCCCACATCCTGAGTTACACCAGTGCAAAACTCTGGATGGGACCTGGCTTCTCCCAGTTGAGCCTGTGCAAATCTCAGCTACCGCAATCCACCTACGATCCTCACCCCTCACAAAATCCCATCACGCAAAAAGCCAGACTCCTTAAACYCAGGCTGCCTCATGGAAGGCAGTGGTTTGAAAAAACAGCAATCAAGAGGCAGCAGGTAAAAATAAAAATCAGGTTTGGACAAGATAATTGCATGTTAGGGCTACTGCTTGTGGTGGATGYAAACAGCATTGGCAGAGAGATGACAGACAGCAACCATCAGTGTATTCCAAATTCTCTGTGATAAGCAAACACAGCACCAGACTCTCCTCAGTCTACAACACTCCCACCCTGCTTGCTGCCAGCAGGGAGAAAAACGAGTGGAGTCAACAAAATGCTGGAGTAGAGGAGTGGGTGGCAGATCTGGGAGTACAATTTGGTCCTAATTGTGGCGTTCTGACCAACATCTCATTAAGCCATCACGAGAACACACATTTTCTCATCTCCACATGAGAGATTCAAAGCATATTTCCCAYGGCAATGACTGTGTCTGCCACTCAYGCTGYGCCCAGACATCCCCTGCAGACAGATTGACACTCACTTGTAGAAGTAGAGTTCACAAATGCAGCTCAGGAAGGCCAGGAAACATCGGAGGAAATAGAAGATGAGGACCTAGGAGACACAGGGAGAGTCTGAGCGAGGCACAGGACCTGCAATGGGCTTGGAAAGCATCGGGGGAAATAAACAAATGAAAAAAAATGGAAACGGACAGGGAGGGCAATGTTTGTCAACAAACCARCGTTTGATAAACATGAAGTCTCTTCATTCCAACAACAAACAAAGCAGCTGTTTCACAGACTAAAGGCACACAAAAGCACCTTCCACACCCACGATTTACCTTGTTGGTTTGCAGAACCCTGGCATGGAACCAGGCTGGCAAGGCATGGAGCCACAGGTAAGCATAGGAGCGGATGGCGTAGGCTGGAGAGTACTCCCATGTCTGAAACCCCTTCCCGTAAATGAGGTAGTGTGTCTACAACAGAGAGCAAATAAATAAATTAACATGCAGCACTCAGTTTTACATTCCCCACCTCTGAATATCASAGCAAAACATTTCTCATTGAAACAGAGAGAATAGCGTGAGGTTCTAAACAAATCTGCATTTGCATGAACCAACTACAGACTGAAACAGAGAGCACAAGGTCCTAAATTAATGTGCATTTGCACAGGCCAAGCACAAATTTCCAGTCCCAAGGGCAGGAAGGGACTCACCGGTTCCCAGTAGTTAAAGGTCTCATCGCAATCCGAGATGTTGCTCAGCAGAGCTGCACAGAACCTGGCCGAGATGAGACACTTGAAAGCTGTTGATCCTTCAGGGGCCCACACTTGCCCTGCTTTGCTCGCAGACAATCTAATCCAAAGGGAAAAAAAGAGATAAATATTACAAATTTGCACAGGGAAGACTCCGCAGCGTGATCGAGGTACCCAGCAAGGTGACAGCGAGAACAGGGCTGAGTATTTTTGGGCAGAGGAGGGATGCCAGCCCTCTCACAAGGGGGGATCAGGGCTGG